GAAATAGGGTGAATACATCTCATTACACTGATTTACTGGTAGTCTCGAAACCCTACTATAATACGAATATGATAAAAACAAGTTGGGGACATGTAGGTCCTGGCTGATGCAATCTTGTCTGCACCATATTCTTCTCTTCGCAATTAGGGTTTCAGTACAAGTGGGCAGATTCCGCCATTAAGATATCTTGACTTAGTTGTTCAGCTTATTTCCATTTCGAGTGAAAGTGTTTGGTGAAGAGATTCGCAGGTCGGTTCCATCAGAAGACGACAACGGATCCCTCTTGACCAGCTGTCGATTGGCTTTACTGGAACATTCATGCTGACGCTGTTTCCGAGGTAATCTCCTTCGGGTTTTCTTGACTTGTTAGCTTAAATTTTGTTGTGAAGATGATATCTTGCTCTGCTGATGTTCATCATTTGACGGACGAAAGCTTAGCACCGGAATCGAAGGAGATTGCCTCGGAAACAACGTCAACATCAATGTTCCAGTAAAGCCAATCGACAGCTGGTCAAGAGGAATCCGCCGTCGTCTTTTGATGGAACCGACCATCGAACCTCTTCATTCTTTTCAATCGAAGTGGAAGTAAGCTCAACAGTTATGGAACAAGAGATTCCTCGAAAGCCAAATTTTCTTCGCATATCTTGACTTAGTGTCAACTCGAAGTTTTCGTTGCAGACATTAATTCTTTCCCAAGAGATGCATCGAAATTCAGCTAACTTTCTCATCTCAACTTTGTGCTGAGGTAATCCTTTGCGTTGGGTGGTTGGGGGTTGGGGTCAGGTCTCGTCATATAAAATGACACCAGATTGATCTGGATAATAGGGTCGAGTTTCTCTGTAAAAGTATTCATGATGAGCCGCCTATCTCAGGTCTATGAGATCGGATACTTCTGCCCGTTTCTGACCCCAGAAGAAGATCTGGCCCGACCAAATAGGTTAATTTCTTTGTTAGGATAATTTGTCCAAGCCACCGACTAGAGGAGGGAGTGCAACGTAAGCATAGAATGACATGAAATGTAACTAATTGAATCATTCAATATCTCATTTTAGTCGCTTTTTGTTGATTTTACTATCCTTGGCATGTAAGGAAAAGCCGGTTAGTCTATCCAGTTTATTATTGGCTCGAAGTTGTTGAACGCAGAAGATCTAATTCCAGCAACGTCTGTTTTGTGGTATGGCTAAACGAAAGGTCATCCTGTTTTTACTGCGACTGAAAGAGGATATATGAAGAAAAGCTGGGTTTCGAATAATCTCTTAATATTGTTGAGCTTACTTCCATTTCGAGTTGAAGTGTTGGCTGAAGAGATTCGATGGTCGGTTCCACCACAAGACGACGGTGGAGTCCTCTTGACCAGCTCTCGATTGGCTTTACTGGAAAATTCATGCTGACGCTGTTTCCGAGGCAATCTCATTCGATTTCGGTGAAAAGGTGCTTAGCTTTCGTCCATCATATGACGGACATCCTCGAAGCGAGGTAACATCGTCACAACAAAATTGAAGCTAACGAGTCAAGATGTCCGTCATATGACGGACGAAAGCTTAACACCTTTTCACCGGAATCGAAAGAGATTGCCTCGGAAACAACGTCAGCATGAATCTTGCAGTAAAGCCAATCTACAGCTGGTCAAGAGGAATCCGCCGTCGTCTTGTGGTGGAACCGACCTTCGAATCTCTTCACCCAACACTTCCACTCGAAATGGAAGTAAGCTCAACAATGATGAAACAAGAGATTCCTGGAAACCCAAATTTTCTTCAAATCTCTTGATAGTTTAATACTGGCGTAACTTTCATTTCCTTTGAAAAGGCGAGTCGAAGAGATTCGTGGATTAACCTCACGGGATGCCGCAGGAGGGTTGCCTTGGACTTTTGTCTGTTGAATTGTGCGAAAACGACCTCGGCTCACCGTCTTACGACCCCGACCACTCAGTGCTGATCTTTCGTCCGTCCTGCGACCGACATTGTCAGAGCCAGAAACCAGTATTCACGAAAGATCACCAAAAGAAACTAAACCGCGGAAGGTGGCCAGCCTCATTTTGCGAGCTTATGAGACATTACACCCTTTTATACCTTAAAGTATAAAAAGTAAGTAAGACCTCTGTTGGCCACCCTTTTGGGTTTAGGGTTTTTGGTGTTTGTTCGTAAATACTTTTTTCTGGCTTTGACGATGTCCGTCGCAGGAGGGATGAAAACTCAGCACGAAGTCATCTGGGTCGTCTTCGCAAAATTCAACAGACAATCGTCCAAGGCAACCCTCCTGCAATATCCGGTGAGGCCAATCTTCGAATCCTTTCGACTCACCTTCTCGAAGGAAATGAAAGGTAGGCCAGTATGCAAGAGGATACCTCCTTCGTATTGTGGTGAGATCTATCTTCAGTATGCACACTCACACGAAATGCAAGTCCTTTCAATAATCTACGAGGAGACAAGACCAATTTGGCAACGTGAGAATGGTCTCATTCATGCTGTCTCAGTCAATGGACCTCTACTTCTTCATCGTCAATGAAAGACTCGAGGCACTTGTACCTCCATTTTCCACCTCTTTTCACACGACCTGAACCACCCATCTTATACGTGGCTTTGTCTTGAAACAGCAAATGTCGTCTGCCTATCGATGCCGGTCTGCCAGACCCCAAAACACTCCAGACAATACTCTTACAGAGCCCAATCGGGTGACTCGTCTGCCCTGTCGCCAGGCCAAGGGTGCTTTCTGTACCGGGCTCTATCACACGAATGGGTCACTAGACACAACCTTTCTGTTCTCTGCAAAGCCTCTGCCAAGTGCATGTCGAGCCGTGAAGAGGGTTGGGGACGTAGGCACGACCTGTCGCCCCTGCCGCTGCCGGTGCTGTACCAGTCGAGCCGGTGGCAGCGCTAGAAACTCTGTTAGTGTTGGTGCTATGT